GGATAGATGAAAACTGAGTTTATTGCTGGGAGACCTGCCTTACGAGAAATGCTAAGGAAAGTCCCTCAAGCTAAAATGAAAGACGATTGGACAGTAACTCAAATTCCATAGGTAAATATAAAAATCAGCATTAATATACTTTTTGGTTTGTCACTCCTCTTTTTTTCCCTGTATGATTTAAAAGACAACTGCACCAAACAATAATTATAACTATATTGATGGACACAAAATATATAATGATGTAACTTGTCACAACAACATAAAGGTGAGTGATGAAACTATATAGGAACTAAGTTCTTATATACTGCTAAAACTTGGTGTTAATTCAAACTAGACTGTTATAAATTAAGATGTTAATTGTAATCCCAGTGAAACCACCAAGAAAATTACTAAAAAATAAATTGTAAAAGAAACAGAAGGAAATCAAAATGGTACACTGAAAACCATCTATAACACACAAAAGATGGCAATAATGGAAGAACTGAGGAGCAAAAGAACAATATACAGAAAACAAATAGAAAAATGGCAGAAATCTTTCCTTATAAATAAATACTTTAAATGTAAATGGAAGAAACTCTCCAATTGAAAGACAGAGATTGGCTGAATGGATTTAAAAAAAAAACATGTTATAAGAGACAAAGAAGGACATTTTATTCTGACAAAAGAGTCAATTCATGAAGACATAAAAACTATAAACATATACACCTAATGACAGCCTCAGAAAGTTTGAAACAAGAATTGGCCGGGCGTGGTGACTCATACCTGTAATCCCAGCATTCTGGGAGGCCAAGGCAGTTGGATAGTTTGAGCTCAGGAGTTCAAGACCAGCCTGAACAAGAGCGAGACCCCGTCTTTTTTTTTTTTTAGAAAAAAAAAAGAAACAAGAATTGAAGGGAGAAATCATCCAAAAATAATAGTTAAAGACTTCAACACCCCACTTTCACTATTGGATAGGACAGTTAGATAAAAGGTAAAGAAGGTAACAACACTGTAAACCAAGTAGAGCTAACACATATATATATAGAACACCTAACAACAACAGAATATGCATTCTTCTCAAGTGTACATGGAAATTCTCCAGATAGACCATAGAACAATCTAAATTAATTTTAAAAATTTGACCACAATGGAATGAAATTAGAAATCAACAACAGAAGGACATCTGGAAAATTTACAAATATGTGGAAATTAAACAACACGCTTCAAAAAAATCAAAGGGTCAAAAGAGAAATCACAAGAGAAATTAGGATATACTTTGAGATTAATGAAAATGAAAGCCCAACATACTAAAATTTATGGGTGAACAGAAGCTTTTCAAAAGAAGATAGACAAATGGCCAATAAACATGAAAAAATGCTTAACATCACTAATTATCAGGAAAATGCAAATTAAAATCACAATGAGATATCACCTTACTCCTGTTAGAACGGCTTTTATTAAAACGTCCAAAAACAGTAGATGCTGGATATGGATACACTGTTGGTGGGACTGAAAATTAGCACAACCTCTGTGGAAAACAGCATAGAGCTTCCTCAAAGAACTAAAAGTAGACCTAACCATTCAATCCAGCAATCCCACTACTGGGTATCTATCCAAAGGAAAAGAAGTTGTTTCATCAAAAAGACACCTGCACGTCAATGTTTATTGCAGCACAATTTCACAATTGCAGAGATGTGGAATCAACCCAAGTGCCCATCAATACATGAGTGGACTAACAAAATGTGGTATATGTATTCCATGGAGTACTACTCAGCCATCCAAAAGGATAAATTAATGCCTTTTGCAACAATTTGGAGGGAACTGGAGACGATTATCCTAAGTGAAATATCTAAAGAATGGAAAAACAAACACCACAGGTACTTGCTATTAAATTGGAACTAACTGATGAGCACACATGTGCACAGGGGGAAGTAAAACTCAGTGAAAATCAAGCATGGAGGAAGGGGGAAGAGGGGAGGGGTGAAAATCTACCTAACGGGTACAATGAACACTATTTGGGTGATGGGTACACTTATAGCCATGACCCAAGCATTACAAAAGCAATCCATATAACCAAAAACATTTGTACTCCCTCAGTATTTTGAAATAAGGTAAAAAAGTGAATAGTAGAAAAACAGCTCTTTAATCATTAACTGAATCAAAATAAATCAAGAAAACTAAAAAAATAAAAAATAAAGAGACAAGAGATACCCATCCTCAGATAAATATTCTTTTGGGGGTATGCCTTGTCAGACAGTTCTAAACAGTTGGTTCCCCATTAGAATACCAAGCTAGACACTGGAATTAGGTGGCCTTTTTAAACTTGTTTTAATTATGTGGATTAAAAAAATAAACTCAAGTTTAAAGGCAAAAAATAAAAGTAAAACTTACAACATGCAGTGAAAACAGTATCTAGAGGGAAATGTACAGCTGTAAATGCCTACATTAAAAAAGAAAAAAACAGAAATTGATAACCTAAACTTCCCACTTTAAGGAATTAGAAAACAAAAAGCAAACAAAACCCAAGGCAACCAGAAAGAAAGAAAGGCTCGAATGCAGATAAATGAAATGGAGAATGGGAAAACAACAGAATCGATAGGATAAACAATGATTCTCTGAAAATATCAACAAAGTGACAAACCTTTAGCTAGACTCACCCACAAACACATACATGCACACAGAGAGAAGACTCAATTACTAAAATCAGGAAGTGGGGATATTACTAACAACCTTACAGAAATAAAAAGAAAAGATTGTAAGAAAATACTATGAACAATTGTATAGCAACATATTAGATAACGTAGATGAAATGAACAAAGTCCTAGAAACACACAAATTACCAAAAGTGACTCAAGAAACAATAGAAAATATGAATAGATCTCTAACAAGTAAAGAGATTAAATCAGTGATCCAAAACCTCCCAACAAGGAAAAGGCCAGGACCAGATAGCTTCACTGGTGAATTGCATTAAATATTTAAAGAAGCAACATCAATACTTCTCAAATTCTTCCCCCACACACAAAAAAAGGAAAAAAACACTTCCTAACTCATTCTATGAGATCTGTGTTACCCTGATGAGAAAGCCAAAGACACCACAAGAAAACTACAGACCAATGTCCCTTATGAATATAGGTGCAAAAATCCTCGGTGAAATGTTAGCAAACTGAATCCAGCAGCATATTAAAAGGACTATATACCATGACCAAGTGGGATTTATCCCAGGAATGCCAGATCATTTGTTATATGAAAATCAATCAGCGTAATACATATTATTAATAAAATGTAAGGGGAAAAACCACCTGATCATCTCCATGCAAAAAAAAAAAAAAAAAAAAGCATTTGATAAAACAAACCCTCAACAAACTAAAAATAGAAGAGAAATTTCTCCACCTGATAAGAGTGTGTCTATGAAAAACCCATAGTTAACATTGCTGGTGGGAACGTAAAATCATTCAGCTGCAGTGCCAGATAGTTTGATGGTTCTTCAAAAAAGTTACACACAGAATTACCATTCGACTCAGCAATTTCATTCCTAGGTATAGATCCAAGAGACATGAAAACATGTCCACACAAAAACTTGCACATGAATGTTCACAGTAGCATTATTCATAATAGCCAAAATGTGCAAACAACCCAAATGTTGATGAATGGATGCATAACATGTGGTATATCCATAGAAGGGAACATTATTCAGCCATAAAAAGGAATGAAGTACTGATACATGCTACAGTATGGATGAACCTTGAAAGCACTATGTTTAGCTGAAGAAGCCAGATACAAAAGGCCACATATTGTGTGATTTCATTCATAGTAGTTCCCCTTATCCACAGGGGTATGTTCCAAGATTCCCAGTGGATGCCGGAAACCACCAATAGTACCGAACCCCATTATACTATGTTTTTTCCTATGCATACTCACCCGTGATAAACTTCAATTTATAAATTAGGCATAGTATGAGATTAACAACAATAAGTAATCATAGAATAGAACAATTGTGTCAGCATCCTTACTCGTGCACTTTGGGGCCATTCTTAAGTAAAACAAGTGTTACTCGAATGCAAGCGCTGTGACCTGCGGCAGCTGGTCTGAAAGCTGAGATGGCTCACGGGTGGGAGGCGGATGCTGGACAAAGAGAGGATTCGTGTCCAGGGTGGGATGGAGTGCAATGTTGAGGGATTTCGTCATGCTACTTAGAATGTCGTGCAATTTAACACTTAGGAATTGTTTATTTCTAGAATTTTCCATTTACTATTTTCAGACCATGACTAACTGCAGGTAACTGGAACCGTGGAGAGCAATACCATGGATAAGAAGGACCACTGCGTTTTAAATGTCCAGAATGGGCAAGTCTATAGCGACAGAGGTTAGTGGTTTCCAGGGGGAGGGACTGCTGAATAGGCACAGGGCTTCTGTTTGGGTGATGAAAATGTTCTGGAGTTAGACAGTGGTCGTGATTGCACAACATTGTGAATGTACCGAAAGCCACTTAATCTATACAGTTTAAAATGGTTAAAATGGTAAATTTTATGTTATGCGAATTTCACCTCAGTAGAAAATTAAAAGAAAAAACCTTAATGGGCACACAAATCCCCTGGAGGTCTCCTGACAATGAAGATTCTGACTCAGGAGTCTGGGTGAGGCCCAGGACCCTGCATTTCTCACGAGCTCCCAGGTGTCGCCATTGCTGCTGGTCTGTGGGCATGATTTGAGTAGCCAGGCTACGCAAAGGGTCTCTCTGCTGTGCTGTGTTACACTTCTGGGCCTGGGAGCCTCACTTCTGTGAACCACCCCCTGCCAAGTCTGCCCTGTAAATAAGGGCTGAAGTGTAGACGGCAGGGGGCTGGGGGCAGAGGGCTCCCAGGTCTGAGCCTGGGGAAGGATGCAGGCCTCAGGGCACGGGAGTGGTTATGGGGTCGCTCTGTCAGCAGACACAGAGGGGACCAAAGGAGTAGCTTTTATTTCACACAAAGCTGGGGAAGGAAGGCGAGAAGACGTGGCTCCGTCCTCAGAGGTTTGCTGTCCGCAGGTGTATTACCCCCGGCTGCCGGGCTCCTCCACCTCGGGGCTCAGAAGCTATCTGGAAGAAAGGGGTGGCCTCGGAGTGAGCAAGCAGGGGGTGCTGGAGGGTCCCCCGCCCAGCAGTGCCCTGCACCTTCCCTCCCTCCCCTTCCTCTCTGCAGCCTGAGCCACTCACCATCCCCAAGGAGGTCGGGGGCCGGGCTGAAGGGCCCGGGGGGCAGGTTCCAGGCCAGCTCCTCCAGCAGGCCCAGCAGGCCTTTCACTTCTGTCTCTAGGTGCTCCACCGTCTTCTCCAGCATCTAGGACAGAAGCAGGGGACAAAAGCAAGGACGAGAGTGATGCCATATCCTGCTTCATCAGCCACGTGCTAAGGAGCACTTAGAGGTGCAGGGGGGTAGGGACTGGGTGCCTCAGACTGTGCCCCTGCCTCAGTTTCCCCAGACAACAATATCCTAGGGGGCTCTCTCTGCAAGGCCACTTCCTGTGTGGCACTCAGTGGTTGGCATGGAGCGACCCTGGAGCACCTTTTCCCTTTTGGACTTTGCAGCCTGGAGCTCACATTCCTTTTGTTGCCCCGCCCCCTGGTGGCATCTCTGCCAAATGACAGGTTTGGAATTTTGCAATTTTCTTTATTCAGGATTCTTAACTTTTTTTTTTTGGTGTGTGTGCCATGGACCCCGTTGGCCATGTGGTGAAGCCTACAGACTTCTCAGAATAATGCTTTAAGTGCAAAATATAAAACATACAGAATTACCAAGGATACAAATTATATTAACATATAATTCAATTTTTAAAAATTAAATGATATAATAATATATGTATTTATTAACCCACTAAATCACATGATCTAACAACTACTGAAATTTTGACATAATGAATATAAATGATATGTGGAGATATAACAACTATGACAGGATGAAATTATCTGTGATGTCTATTGATGACAAAGTCACAGTACTATTAATACTATGGTTTGTTGTCTGTATTTATGATGAATGAATACATTTCAGTGAAATTTAGCACTCCCATTTTTTAGGCTTGTGACAATAAAGACGTAATTTTTCCCACCACACGAATTTTTGGGCCACAGGTAGGAACCATGGCTGTATAACAAAACACAGCGATTGAATTTCCACCTTCCCAGCTGGTAATTACGCGGAGATCTCCGGGGTGTGTGTGTGGGGGGGTGCGGTCTAAGCAAAGCCCCCGGGGGAGGCAGGGTCTGCTGGGGGCAGGTCAGCCAACAGCCCAGGTGGGGCAGGGGCATGTTTAATCTGGTGACCACAGGGCAGGATTGGCCTGGATTTCCTGACGCTCCAGAGAAAGCTTGCATCTGCGCCCCGTGAAGCCACATGTCCTCCCAAACCATCCTACTACCTCCTCCATGACGTCCAGACGGCCTTGGACAGCCCCGTGCCTGTCACATCCTGTGCCCTGAGCCGGGCCTCCTCGGGAGGGGCTGAAGGGTTCCGCAGCTGCGGGCAAACAAGTCTTGTCAGTGCGGGCCCTTGGTTTCCCTGTAACACCAGAGACTCTTGCAAAACTCTGAGCTCCGGTGAGGGGGGGCTGCCAACAACTGCACGGGCGAGCAGAGGAAGGTCTGTGCGCAAGCTGTGGCCACCTCAGCCCCTCACTCGTCTCTGTGACCACGCTCCCCTGCAGACCCCGGTGGGCTTCCTCAAGGAGGCAAGGCCTGAACTGGGACAGGCAGGACAGGAGGAAAGACGCCAGCCAGGGGGAAGGGCACGGGCAAAGACAGCGGTGTGGACGAGCGTGGCTCGGGGTGCAGAGACCCCACGGGGAGTCTGCAGCTGAACACACAGGGCGGGAGGGGAGAACGTGGTGAGGGGCACCCCAGAGCTGGAGCCGAGAGGGCAGAGCTTTAACCAGAGGCCGTAATAAACCAATTCCCATGCTTGTTTGGGGGTTTATTTTAACAGAAGAGTCACAGAGTCATATGTGAATTTTTAAAATATAGAAAATGGATTGGAGGGATGTGTCTTTGAAGGCAGGAGGTCGCTGCAGTAATCAGGGTGAGAAGTGATGAACAGAGGCAGCGGCTGGAGGAAGAGAAAGGAAGAATGAGCGGCCACAGGCCGGCATCGGCACCAGCGAGCAGCAGCCGACGCTGGATCCGAGCGCTTACCGCGCACCAGGTCGTGTGCCGAGCACAGGTGTTAACTCAACCTCTCCAACCACCTGTTATCTCCAGTTGACACACAGGGAGACTGACACACAGAGGGCTGAAATGATGTGTCTGAGATCACACCACCCGTGAGCACAGGATCTGAGGTTTAACCCGCTCAACCCTTGGTTCCTTATTTTTCTCAACATTGGTCCTTCCTGGCACCATCGCCCCCACACCAGAAGTCTCCGAGCCCTGGGCTGAGCCCAGGTTTCAAGCTGGTAACTCCGATGCCAGAGTTGGCTGAAGCCCTGGAGAATGCTGGCACTCAGCGAGGAGGGTGCTGCCCCAAACGTCAAGAGAAGCCGGGAGCTTTACACATCCTGCCGAGCATGGGAAAGTCAGTGTGGCCTAACGCAGCAGGGAAGGCTAGCAAGATAAGGACCAGAAAAGCAGAATGCCAGGAAAGACCCTGCCGAATGTCACCCTGGCACTTTTAGCAGAGTGTTGGGGGCAAAGCAGAGTCTAGATTGCAGTGGGATGAGAAGGTAAGGCCGGGTCGGGTGGTGGACACTTGAACTTGGAGAAGTTTTTCACCAAGCTTGGCTGTGAAGGAAGGGGACAGATCATAATAAGGTCTAGAGAAGTGTTGATTGTTGTCCTTTCTGTCTTGTGAGCATTGGAAAACACAGGCATGCTTCCAGCCTAAGGGACAGGAAGGAGACAGGAGAACAAGGAATGCATTTCCTGAACCGATGGGAGGTCTGGGATCCAGAGGGCTGGGGCAACGCATGGAAGAAAAGGAGGGAATGCAGCAAAAACGGGCCAAGACACACCTGTACGTAGCGGCCAAAGAGCTGAGCGAGCTCCACCTGACGGCCTCTACTCCCTCGGTAAAGGAAGCGGGAGGCACCTGCTGAAATTCAAGTAAGGAGTAGAGCTGGTGGTTAAGTTTGCAGGAATTCTGTGAGTGGATTGTTAAACTTGGCCATTAAAGTGGCCGGCCGTGGTGAGAACATTTACACCATGGAAATCAGCAAATGCTCCTTTTTTTTTTTTTTTTGAGTGACAGTCTATCAGCACCACTGGGTGAGGGACTTGAATAGAGACAGGGCTTCAAAAGGGGATGTGGAGAATGAGGGGGGCGGTGTGGGAGGACCATGCAGTATGAGCAGCATCGGTGAGGAACCCTGGATGTGCCCGGCCACTGCCAGCTGTGCTGCGCCGTTGGGTGCAGAGCTGGGAAGACAGAAGGCTGGGTGGGGCTGACCCTGGGAGTCTGCGGATGAGTGCGGTGGGGCGAGGGGCCTGGGAGCTGAGATGTGACCAGCAAGGGGCATGGGGAGGGGCCCTGGGGATGCAGGAGAGGCCAAGAAGAGGGCCCATAAATTGGGAGAAATGGGGGAGCTGAAGGGACTGGAGGTCTCGATGAAGTTACGGGAGGGACAGTGGTAAGGGACATTGCAATTTTAGCTTTTAGAGGAGGAGCAGCTTCAGACGGTGACATCAAGGTGGGCAAGTCCTGGGGTGGGACAGGGATGCTGAGCCACTTTGCTAGTGGTGGATGTGTAACTCTGAGAGGTAAGTGGCTTGCCCAAGGTCACGCTGTCAGCAAATGGCTGGACACCAAGCACCCTGACCTTCTCCTGGCCCCATCTCAGCAAGTGGCCTTCTGGGGCTCTGCTGGGCTCCTCATGCCCTGAGATTTTCTGATTCTGACTCTATGTGGAAGCATTCGGGGATGAGAACCAAGACCAGGGACAAAACTCCCTTCATTTCTGAGCATCTTCGGTGGAGAACAATTTGTTTTTAAAATTCTCCTTTGCATTGTTTCCCTCCGTTGAGCTTAGCAAAGCCTCTTCAAAGGTTAATGGTGCTACTGCTGAATCTGGGGGTGGGGGGAGGGACATTATAATGGCACTTTGGCTGCTTTTTAAAAAGCGAGTCTCTTAGAGACCCACACTGAAACATTTACAGATGAAACGCTATGAGCTCTTGGATTAACTTCAGAGTAATCCAGGCCTGGGTGGGGTTGGAGAGAGGCATGGGTGGGCTATGAGGCAAACAAGGTTGGCCGAGAGTTGATCCCTGTGGAAGTTGGGTGACGCACGCTCAGGGTGCATTCAGCTGCTCTCTCTGCGCTTGTGTATATGGTCTGATATGTTCCATAACAAAAGCCAATTGTCGGATGGGGTTGTCAGCAAAGAGCAAAAGCTATTGCGGGCTGCATGCAACCACGTAAAGTGTTCAGGGCGAGAGGGGGGTGAGGAGAGACCCCAGAGGGTGGAGGCTGCATTCCACCCTGGCCACACATCCTAAAGATGCTCTTGAGAGGCAGGAGCAGGTCTGGAGGTGGCCCTGGTAAAAGGGCTCCAAGCTCATTTGTCTCAGCTGAAACCGGGCTTGCTCAGCCTGGAGAGGAAAGGCCGGAAGAGCTGTTCTCACCCACAGGATCTGTGGCCAAGTCTTTCCCCTGAGCTTCCCCTGCCCTCTCCCAGGCCCTAACCCTGTTCCCTCGTGCACGTCCCCCAGGCTTAGGCCAAGAGGCGGCAACGTGAGCCAAGTGGGGGTCTGGTTGCTTCAGGACTCACGCACATGGATCTGCTTCTCCCCGCTGGCCTGCAACACCCTGTTCCCAGCGTGTCTGCGATGAGGTCTAACTTGGCTCCAGAACCCCTCCTGGGAAAAGCCCGGGCTGAGGTCGCTCTCCACACAGCTCAGCACTAATCCCTCACATCTGGACAAATCCGTGCTGTGTGCAACCGCCACAACTGTCCATGGACTCATCGGGGCCTCTGAAGAGCTCATCGGAGAAAGAAAGCTCGGAGCAAAGACTAACACCCCCTGCCCCGCCGGCTCCCTCCTGCGCGGGGTCCTCACCACGGCTCAGCTCACGGCAGACCCCAGTCTCAGCCTGGCATGGCCACTTATTGTCGTGGGGTTGTGAGAAGCTTTCTTCTCCTCCTGGAGCCTCTGGCGCCTCCTCTGTGAAATGGGGTGGGGTCAGCCTGAGGCCCTGTGGCCCAGATGTCGCTCACCCATAATTCTTCTCTCTTTCCAAGCTAGCTGAGAGGCCTCAAAGGTTAGCTACAAGGACAGGACTGGGGCGAGTAAAGGAGAAGCAGCTTCTTGGACCAGAAGCTCCAGCAGGGCAAGAACTGAGTGCCTGCACACACACACACACACACACACACACACACACACACACACACACACACGGGGCTGCCAGGAGGCTCAAACAAGAGGAGTGGGAAAGGCTGAAGGATTATCATGATCAACCCTGAACGGCCAAGGCTGCGGTTCTGCTCCCCCTTCCTTCCTTCTCTCCCGCCCTCCCTGCCCCTGCCAGCTGGGAAATGGACCTCCTTGGATGCCGGGTTGTTTTCTCTGGCCCGGCTCCTGCTCCGGGCCTGATGTGCACCCTGGACGGCGGCCATGGGTGGGGCATCCTGCGCTGGTGAGAACAGGCTGCAGCGGAGCCAGAGGCCCTGGGGGAGGGCTGGGCTGGGCCGGCCGCCCCAGTTAAAGAGATGCCCACTGGGCCCCGTCCTCCCACTTCCAGGCCTCACAGGGAGATCTTTTGTATCTGGGACCCAAACAGTAAGAAAGGGCCACCACTCGAACGATTTCTGCGCTGACGACAAACTTATTCCCAGCAGAGACCACAAGTGCCGCTGCACCTTCTGCATGGTCAGTCACACCCTGCTCTGACCAGCAACACTGGCCACTGGGGGTTAATTTACATTTGACCACATCCGATATAACAGAATGATAAATTTTACCACATCCAATATGTGTATAAAGATTCGCGATTCATTCAAAACCATCCGTGGTTGTGATTACTGTTAAAGCAGCAGAACACGATTTCCAGTCGATTCAATGAAGAACTCCAAACAGAAGAGGGACCCCTCGACCCCCCTGAAAGAGAGCTCGGATTACGAGGAACATTTTTGTTTTGTTTTCTTTGGGGAGGGATGTGTCCTGTCTCCCCTGGCCTCTGGTCATTTTCCAGACTGGATATGACCTTTTGATCACTCTGAGACCGTACCCATGTTATGCCAATGCAGGCAGTGTCTGGCTGTTAGTACTTTTCTCAGGATACGAGCGAGGCCGCCGTAAGGAAGAGCCCCCCGCAATCACACACGTGTTCTCTCTCAGGTATCAGGTACAGGTATCGATTCAGACGTAGACTGGCTGGCGGTGGCTGGCGGTGGCGCTGCAGGCAGCTCTGCTCCCTGAGGCCATTCAGGGGCCCAAGATTACTTCCATCTTGGAATACTATGTTTTTTAATCCACTGAATTATGACGTACTAAAGCACTCCAAAATCCCCAGGATGCTGAAAAGGTCTAAAAAGCCATCAAGGACAGAGCTCCTCTCCAAGGGCTGGGGAAAGAAGGCGGGTGGGAAGTCGGAGATGCAGTCTTTCCAACCACGCGCCCTCTGCCTCTCTCGGCTTCCCTCCCCTCATCTGCAGGGCATCTGCCCTGCCCGACTGCTTTGCAGGATGGCTGTATTGCTCCTGCTCTCGATGATGCCTTGGAACTGCCAAGTGATGTGCAAATGCCACACAGGGACATTGCTCAGAAAGATGAAGGCACTAAGTCAGTCAGTGAAGCTTGAACCAGGACCCTGCCTCTCCACACGGAAGCTGGTGCTCTTTGCTAGATCTCTCCGAACAGATCTCCCAGAGATGGAGAGGTGTCTGCTCCAGAGCCAAGCCCACGCAGGGAGTCAGATGCTGCAAGTGTCCAGGGAATGTTTGGGGGAGCTTCTCCAGCAGGGACGCAGGAGCTCAGCCCTGACACACTCTCTGGTTCCCTGATACACGCCAATCCCACCTGCTGCATCCTTGGCTTCTTCACCTTTAGAATGGGCACAACCATACTCTGTATTCCAAGCTACCATTGATTTGTGATCACTTATCGTGGGCCAAGCTTTTTGTTCAGTGCTTACAGCAATCATTTCATTTAATTCTGTGAGGTCAGTATTCTTGTATTCCTCCCCCTCCCTTTTTTTTTTTTTTTTTAATCAGGTTAGAAAACCAAAGAGCAAAGAGGTTGAGTAGCATGCCTAAGATTACACAGCTAGTAGTAGGTGGTGGTTTGACCTGCCTGACATGGTCTATAGCGTGCCCTAGCAGTAGTGTGACTTTTTGTAAGTGAAGAGCCTCCCATCTCAGGGCTTCAGCTGCCTCCTCTGTAAAATGAGGGGATGGACAGGTACAGGGCAAAGGTAACCAATACATGTGACACCTTTGCAGCTATTCCAAGGCCCACAAGAGCCCAAATGTGCACCTTGGGTCAAATTGTCTTTGAGAGGTTCCCTCCCCACCATATCCATTTTTGTGAGAACAGACACCATGATCCTCACCACAGCCCTCTGGCAAAAGCACAATCCCAGTGGAAAGCAGATGTCCATGGGGACCTGGGGAACGGTGTTGGACAATGACAGCTTCCCCACTGGAACTCAAGGCATGGATGAGAATGGTTATACTAGTTAAAAGGATGAAGGCTCTTAAGACTAAAAATTCCTCCAATAGCAAAATAGTAACTCAGCTGAAGCCTCACCTTAACAAAAGGTCTCTACAGGTAACACAAGCAAGTTTCCTTCACTTCATATATAAAGAGCATTTATAGAATAATAGGAAAAATCCCAACACCACAACTGAAAAAGTCTAAGACAATTTATAAGACAGTAGAAATGACCAATGTGAAGAAAAAGGCCAATTTCAGTAGCAAAGGAATGCAAATTAAAATAATAAAGACTATCTATAAAGTATTCTTGCAAAGAAAAATCTAACTGGAATCTGATCAAGCTTCTAGATTTAGCTATCAGTTTATAGAAAATACAAGGGGCAGAGGAACATTTAAATGACGCAAAAGGGATGCAATTAGCAAAATCTAAACATGGAAAACTTTACAGGACAAACTTAGTTTCTTCAACAAATAAATTTTAAGGGGAAAAAAAGGTGAGAGAACTTACTTATTTAAAGAGGCTCAACAGACTTATCGACCAAATACAATGTATGTAACCTTATTCAGATCAAACAAATGAATTGTAAAAACATATAACACAATCAAGGACTTTGAACACTGGTTGGAATCTTTGATGATATTCAATCACGCGCCATTTTTTGGGGGTGTGTTAATGGCACTGCAGCTATGCAGTATTTATCTCTTAGAGGTAAACAAGGAAATATTTATAGATAAAAATATATGATGCCTGGAAGTTCCTTTAAAATAATCCAGGGAGAAGAGAGAAGTTGGGGATTATAGATGTAATAAGATTGGCCATGAACTGATACTTGCGCAAACTGGGTTGATCAGTACATTATACTATTCTATTTCTGTATACTATTATTTTATATTTTATTTTTGTATCCAAAAGTTTTTATAATCAAAAGTCAAAAAAATGGAATATTGTCTGTGCACAAAAATGTGTGAAATCAGTGTAAAATTACATTAATATATCTATACTTTCCTCCTTTTCTTCTTAATCTATAGCAATGAACAGGCATAATCAGAAAGATAAGGTTTGAAAGGGGGTTTAAACTTTTAAATACCAGTTGTGGCTAAAAGAGAAAGCAGGTCCCGGATATCGGTTGGTTTGTGTTCCCTGCTGAGCACGTCCTCCGTCATCCGTTCCCTGAAGCTCCCGGATTTACAGAAGGGAACAGCCTCAGCGAGGTGAGGCCACTCACCCCAGGCAGGGGCTCCCCAGGGTCAGGGTGGCCTGGATCCTCTCTCCGAGAGCTCATTCCCACAGTCCACTGGGCCCTGAGAGGGACTGGGGGCTCCTATCTTGGCACAGAGCGCTTCTGCCGGGGTGGGGGCAGGGGGCTGGCAGGGCTGATGCTTGGCGAGGGCACTGCCTTGGCACCATGCCCCCTCATCTGGACAACTGGGATGTGCTACAGCCACTGCCTGGGTAGACAGGGAAGTGGGCTGTAAGCTGTGAGGTGCAGTGCAACATGCAGGCTGGTGGAACGTACAGTCCTAGGCTTTAGCCCAGTGAGTCGCTTGACAAAAGTCACACTCACTGAGCCTCACCTGTGGAGGGACAGTATTGAGGCTACTGGGGGTGCAGAGGAGGAAAGGGAATAGCACAAGGCAAGGACCCCAGCTAGTGGAGTACCCAGATGGCCCCTCTCTCTCACACATCCCCCCACCTCCACCCAAGGCAGCTCAGACCCCCAGAGAAGCTACCTGGGAACCTGGAGGCTGGTGTCCTCACCCGGGCTGCAGAACCACCGCAGGCCACCTTCCAGGTGAAGCAGTGGCCTTTCTCCCCAGGGCTGCCTGCCTGTCTCCCTAAGGCTGTGCTGGGCCCAGCTTGGGTCCTTCTCCCCCCAGCTCGGCTTCCTAGCAATGCACTACAGAGCCAGGCCTGAGGGCGTGGGCAGCTCTGGGACGTTGCTGGCCTCCAGGGCTGTCCCAGCCCGCAGACTTGACCTCTTGCCCCCAGATGCTTGGCTCCTTCTCTGTCGCCAACTCTAGCCCTGGCACGGAGTTTGTTTTCTCCCTCTCTCTCCGCTCCTCCTTCCTTTTGCCATTTTGGTTACTCTTTTTCTTCCCTTCTCGTTCTCTTTTGTCTCTCAAACTCCTTTTTCTTTCTATCCTCGTTCACATTCGTTTATCTCCAGAGTCTTTTTCTGTGTCAGCCTCTCCTTTTTCCTTTTCTCTTCTCATCCTTTCCTCTCTCCTTTATCTCTCTGTGCCTCTGTCTTTATTTCTCTGCCTTTTTTCTATCTCTGTGTCTGTTTACTCTCACCATCTCTCTCTCCATCTCTCTCTCTCCATCTCTCTCTCTCCATCTCTCTCTCTCCATCTCGCCAGCTCTCTCTCCCGCCTTTCCTCCACCCCTCTCTCTCTCTCTCTGTCTCTCTCTTTCCCACCTCGCCATCCGCGGGTCCCCCGGCTGTGGGTCCCCTGCCCTCGCCCGCGCCCCACTCACCGGCCAAGGCGCCCGCGGCGCGCAGCAGCGCGAGCCCGGCCAGCGCGCAGAGCAGGCGCCGCATGGTGCCGCCCGGCCGAGCGCAGCGCCGTCTGCCCGCGGCCGCCCTCCCCGGATCGCGCCGGGCCGGCCCGGGAGGAAATGCTCCAGCCCCAGCCAAAATTCCTGGGCGGCTCCGGGCGTTCTGGCTCGAGCGAACCCGCCCCCTCCTGAGGCCCCTCGGCACCCCGCGGACCCCGTGGAGCCCAGAGACCCCGGGGGCGGAGGGGCGACATGCCAGCCGGGCGCCTCCCCAGGAAGGGGCCGCCCTCGGGGTCCCTCGGGCTGCCGGGGGCCCGGAGAGAAGGGGAGGGAGCGGGCGAGGGCACGGGCTTGCGGCGGCCGCCCCGGGCTCAGGGATGCCTTACGAGCCCGTTTCACAGACCGGGAGACTGAGCGCAGGGAGAAGTGCGCTCCTCGGTGTCATCTCCAGCTATGGCACGGGAATCTGAACCCCGTCTCCGAGGAGAGTGTCGCTTTCGCCCATCTACGAACAAGAAATTAATCCGAATTACACCGGACAGTGTCTGGCCCTGAAAGGCAGACTCAGACGCGGGGTCTGCCTGCTACAAAAACTCATTGTTCAGGCAAAGGCGTAATAGCAATGTTAAAAGGCACTTTCAAAAAAGGCAAAAACCTGACTCGCGTACAGATATTAAATGAGCGTGTGCTAAAGATTGTATTTAACTCGTTATCAATTAGTAATCGATAATGGTTGTAAGATGGTACAACCAAAGAACAGACACAGATCTGAAATACTGACGTGAACGGGCAACTGCAGGCAAAACTGGCTCCTTCCACACAGGGAGGGACCGGAGTCAACTGAACCTACAACGGGAAAAATATGCATATCTGAAGACAAGAATTATTTTGTATTTTGTCAGTTATCTACAATTTCCAGACTTGCGAAATAGTTTAAAGTCAAGGAAAGGCACAGA